ACTGTTATCAGTCACAAATGACATGTCATTGCCATTGCTATTGAAGACTTGTTTAAGAAACCACCTCTCCAGAAACGTGTAATAAGTTCTGTGTCATGTGCGTATCCTTATTTAGAGCCTTTATTGGTAGGTAGTTCTCTATCAAACATTTAGAATAGTAGATTGGTCGGTTGTTCCTGATTCAAACTTTTGTCTCTATTCAAGGTAGTAAAAGAACTTCTTTCTTGTCGCGAAACACTTTGACAAGGTCAGTTCAATTAAGCGAACGTTACACTTTTAACAGGTAGATGTCAATGAACTCACATTATCAAAAACAGAAAAAGACGTATGATTGGCCTATGCTAAAAAAGTTCTTATTCGATAATAAAGTAGATGCATATTATGAGTGAAGCAATTACATATTCAGGGGAAAAATGATTATTGATCTTCCAATAAGAAATCAAGGGGCATATTTCCTTGAAATGCTCTCTAGGAAATACGCATCCTGATATTTTTATAATGAGTTGAATATGCTTAAAATTGTGTTTCTCAGTATCGCAAAACACTGAAATATATTACTGGTTTATAACAGGAAGTTTTCGTTACTAGTCGTTTTCTACTTTGTGGGAATATAAAGGGATTTATATTCCCACAAAAATACACGTTGTGCTAATTGAATGCATTTAACAGTAACATTTTACTATAATGTTAACTTTACTCGGTGAAAGTCTTGTTTGTTTACAAACTGCAGAAATTACACATACTTTGTGTCCTTTTATAATAGATCCTTTCATTTATTTTCATTTTATGTACTTATTAATTTATTAAAAATAGAAAAAAAACGTAAAATATCTGTAATCGTAACGCAAGTACTAAAAAATTGTAAATTACCATAATTTGCATATGATGTTTACAATAAAAGTGATGAATAAATTGTGGATTGTCATATAAATTATTAGATTTGTAAAAAAATATGATATTACCGCAGATAAAAACCTCTTCCAACGACTTTCCGATGTACTTTTCATATATTCTTATAAAAGCGATTTCTTTTTCTGATCAATATAATTTTTAATGTTAAATATTTTGTTTTTACAAAATGGACATACTTCAGTGCATGGTACAAGAAAAAAATAATTTTAAATCTGTAATCATGTAAACTGTATGCATGTTCAGTGCCTGATAGTTTTTTTGATAACTGCAAAGTATCATAACACGTCGTTTGATGCATAAATTGAAAGGCCAAGACATCGAAAGTACAGTTAGAATTCACACTAGGTTTTTATACTATGTACAACACACTAGATTTTAATCCTGAATACCATTGAAAGATTTAGTGTTATTTTCCAGATATTTTTAAGAGTATTTAGAAGATTCAGATTGTTCAGTAGAATATAAATCGGCTATATAATTTGAAACATCTGTTTAAACCTATTTATTCGCGGTAGACTTGCATTTTTATTGCAAAGTAAGGCACATAACAGAGTGGTGAACTTATTTATTTCATTCATTCATTATTTATTTCATAGTCGTGATAGGTTGTGTCAATGTGTCAATATTTAACACGTCAAACCCCTTGAGTTAGTAATAGATGATAAAAAGTGAGAGTTACAGGTTTTTAATCGTTATTCAATGATAAAATTGTGTTTTTGCTGTTAGGTTTTTAATCGTTATCAATGATAAAATTGTATTCTTGTTGTTAGGTTTTGAATCGTTATCAATGATAAAATTGTGTTTTTGCTGTTAGGTTTTTAATCGTTATCAATGATAAAATTGTATTCTTGTTGTTAGGTTTTGAATCGTTATCAATGATAAAATTGTGTTTTTGCTGTTAGGTTTTTAATCGTTATCAATGATAAAATTGTGTTTTTGCTGTTAGGTTTTTAATCGTTATCAATGATAAAATAAAATTGTGTTTTAGCTGTTAGGTTTTTAATCGTTATCAATGATAAAATTGTGTTTTTGCTGTTGTGATAGGATGTTTTTATTTTTCGAGAAAGAAATATAACCTGTGAGGTGCAACTTGACCTTTTGGCCTACTTGATATTTTACGATGATTATAAATTTTACACTTCGACTGTGCAGCATTTGGAAATATGCTATTAGTTCTTCTGTTTAGAAACAGACATGAGTTCACTGTAGTCAGTTTCTTGTACAACTTCAATTTAATAAGAAGTCCCATTAAATTGAATTATTATATTTAGAATTATATTTTTAAGGCTTTTTCTTCTCCCTTTCATTTCTGATGGCCTTTGGGTAGATACATTCAATTGTAGCAAAATACCAACACATCCATAAATTAGATTACAGTTTTTATTTTGGATCTTCATAAGTAGTTAACAAGTACTTGCCCGACATTAACCTTGATTATTAATTTCGACTTTTATGCAATTTTAAATTTCTCTGTGAACAATCTGGTTACTATTTATTAAAGAATAAGAAATAAAAAAAAACACAAATCACACAGCACTACTCGTAATCAGCAGCGAATGTTTATTGTTGGTAAGAAAATTTGAGTTTGCAATGCTTTGTTAAGCAAGGATATCTCTCACAACAAATTTTTCAATAGTACAGCCAGTCGACATAAATCACAATGCGCCGAACAGAGAACGGTGAATGCAAAAAGAAAGTTTTATTAGTGCTGGTTGCTTTTTAAGTAGTAGTTTATTTTGTTTCAACTTGTCCGCTGATGAATTTCAATGAAGGCGGCCGCCAGTTGGCTCGACATACTGGCGTGATAGGATTTTGTCTCTTATGTACAGGTTTTCCTGCTTTAAACCAAATGGAGCACATTGTCTTGCTTTAATCACATCCTGCGAATGATATTGCTATATGAATCGCACGCTAGAGTACTTCCGCGGACATTAATGTATCTGGGTCAGATTTATTTTACACCCTTATTCAACAGATAATGAGATGCTCATCAGTTAGTTACATGGAAATTCCAGATTATGTGTCATTCCCGAAATTATGTATTACCTGTGCAAATATAAATGTTTACAGATTGTCAAAAGGGTTGCTAAAATATACTACATGGAGTAACAAATTTAAATATCAACCACTTTGATAGAATCTCGCAAAATCTAAGGCAATGTAACCCAGACTACACGTTCGTCAATTCAGATACGTAAGAAGAAGCAGAATTCGAATTGATGGAATGTATTCTAGAAATAATATATTAAAAAACGTTTTCAGGGCTTCAGCTTTTGTTTGAATTACCAAGCGTCCGGTGAATGTTTTACGTATATTTGCAATAATCTTGTTTGTTATGGACAAAAGTATTAATATCTCGAGTTGATCTCTAGGCCGAAATCAGAGGATGATTTCATTCCTGGAAATGGAGAGATCCTTAAGTCCTCGCGGGGATCTGTTAGTAACTATTAGAAACCATCTGTATCATGAGGTTTACTTGGCATCAGAGTCTGATTTCCACTCGGGTGAAGGAGGCATGCGCCCTGGCACCCACTTTTAGAGAATCCTTTAGATCCTCCTATGATACTTAAAATATGTAAAATATATGTATTTCTTAATATTTTGGGTTTAAAAAATGAAATTAGAAGCAGTATAAAATGTTAATATTTGTGTTTCATTCTTTATGCCTTTCTTTGAAAATTATATACTGGACAACAACCTTGTGTTTGGCGTATATTTTACTCAAAACTGTAGCGATTTCTAGGACAAACAGGTTGACTTGCTTTAAATTATTACGCAACTAAAATAAAAGGCGATTTTAATCTCACTCAAACAATAATAATAGTAAATTTAAAATAAAAAATTTAATAATTTGTTTTTGCTTAGAAACAAACATAATTAAAATAAAAAAAATCATGGAAATAAAGGAAAAACCGAAATTTATTTATATAATAGTTACATAATTTTTACTGGAGAATAGAATATTCTGATGGCTAAGAAAACTATGTAAAATTATAAAATAAGCAAAAGAAATTCTTTCCCATAACGCCCCATAATTTTTAGGAATTCTCTGTGCCATGGACTTTGAAAATCATTGTTACACAACAAAAAGTGGCAACCCGCATAAAATAAAATTAAAGCACCTGAAGTGAAAAAAAATTTCATTTGGAATCTCGAATAAGGCCAGGAACCATATTTCTAACTTTACGTAAATGACACTCTTGGAGTTTATTATTACCTTGAAATTCTTAAAACCGCATTTATTATGTTTTAACTAACAGCTGATTTAAGTTAAATAAAGACAGACAGTTTTTAATTCATATTCATAGTTTTTCTTCTTGAAATAGGAACATTTATCAAAAGATAAAATGTTCTTAATAACATAGTTCAGAAATATTTTTCATTTGTGCCTCATATTCTCAAAAACTACACTTTCCTCTTATGCAGTTTTTTAAAATATAAAACAGCTCATTTCTTGTCACATTTAAGTAGTTTTAGTGGCGACTAGAAGTCTATCTTAAAAATCAGAACATAAACACTGGAAACTGCAACAGTATTAATTTTTAAAAGAATAACTAGCAATCGATCTACTCATTTGCTTTTTGTCCTTCCCCTACAAAAATAAAAAATAAAATAAAAAAATAAATTATTAAAAAAAATCTTAGCAATTATTAGCATATCGATGGGAAGATATTGATATGATTCTCAGATTGAAAATTATTTTAGTTCCGATGAAATGTTTTTATTTAATGAATTTACAAGAACATGATGGGGATCTAAAATCAAAAGTGAACATTTTGCACTTCATAGGTCTGATATGTAAGTAATACTTAAGATGCGTGGGATGATAAGCGTCATTAGTCGCGCGTGGTTTGTTTCCGGAAAAGCGAAATGTCACACGGTGAAGTTTCACTCACTTCCTCCGTGCTTAGGTGGTATTCAGGTATATTAATATTTCAGTAATACTGTTCCTTATTCATGATTCCCACTGAGATTGTTCACGTAAAACGCTGGATAGGAGCTGTTTTAAATAGCAATTAAGTGTCATTCAGAGATTTATATGTTTGGAGTCTACGAACCTGATTTTTTTTTAACTCTTGTTCTTCCAGATTACAACAGCGTCAAGCCTGTGGTCAATGATGGTGTCAACCATGATTTGGTTGCTTTTGGGAGCGTTCTTCCTGTCATCCGAGATTAGCGATGTCAGTTCATGCTCTTGCATGTATTCGCATCCTCAGGAACACTACTGTGTGGCTGATTTCGGTAAGCTCATCATTTTAATTTAAATTCTTACTGCGCTTTAGATTTAGTGCCAGTGAAAAATTCTTTACTTAGTTTCGTATTTCCTTTTAAGTTCTGCATACTAAACTATACACTGATTTAAATGAAGATCAATAAGAAGTCCACTGAAATACGGAACAGTTTATATACATTTTAAGCAAGCTTTAGGATAAATTTTTTAATATAAGTATTAAATGAACTACAGTATTTATAGACTTGCATAAAAATATACAGAGAAGAAATGTTTTTGTGAAGAAATCTTTATAAAAGAAGACCTAAGAGTTGAGTTTATTATATGATGTATCTATGTCACTGTTATAAAAAGTAAAATATAACTTGCACTTCCTCAGATGAAATTCCTTGCATTTTGCTTCCTGTGAAGATACCGATTGTTGTGCTGCTGAGCACGAGGTTTTATAATTAAATTAATATAATCTTAAGCCAATTTAAAACTGTCTGCATTTAATTAATAAACTTTATTTAAATTAAAAGAAAAGATTATAATCGTATGAATATCTTTAAATATCCATAGATTACTGTAATCGAGAGATACATTTTTATGAGTGTTTGAGTCTTATTGTTACGTTTTCATTCATGAAGATGGGTGCTTGATTCAAGTCGAACCACTAGCTGAGATCTAATCTGTTGTGTGCTTAATTTGTTCATTACTACTTTTACTCGAAATAAAAGAATGAAAGAGAAATGCTTGGAAATGAAAGCCACGACGATCATTTTCTCTTTTGCGGAAAAGAAAAAGAATGAGATAAAAAAGTCATCTAGAAAAATAAACTATGGATATTTAAAGATATTGATACAATTATAATCTTTACTTTTAATTTAAATAAAGTTTATTAATTAAATGCAGACGGTTTTAAATTAACTAAAGATAATATTAATTTAATTATAAAACCTCGTGCTCAGCAGCACAGCAATCGGTATCTTCACAGGAAGCAAAATGCAAGGAATTTCATCTGAGGAAGTGCGAGCTATATTTTACTTTTTTATAACATTCACATAGATATCATATCGAAACCGGGCCCTTTGGTATCGCAGTCGGCTTCCTTAACCACTACACCATCTGGGCGGCAGCCCCTGTAAAAACATCTTTAAACATAATGTTTTTACAGGGGCTGCCGCCCAGATGGTGTAGTGGTAAAGGGAGCCGACTGCGATACCAAAGGGCCCGATTTCGAATCCCGGAGAAGGCATGGTTGTAAGTGTCTGCCCCTTCATAGAAGACAAAGGTGACCCACCTATTAGGTGCCTCTATAATAAAGTGACCACACTTCTGGCCTTAGTAGTGGCCAGTCATAGTGGTCTAATGGCCCGCCTTTGGTTAAAAAAAGGGAGGGGGGTCCTTGCAGTTTGTAAGAAACCCTGATTTGAAAACATGTATGATGTGTGGTGTGATCTGTAACACCATATTTGAAAAAAAAAATGTAATTCAATGAAGGATAGTAAAAGGAGGAAAAGTTATTCTTTAAATATGTGGCAATATTTTTCATAATACATATACTATTGAGTCAAGAGTATTAGTATGAAATATCTGGAATATCAAATACTGTTTTAAATATGAAAAATCATTTCAGTTCCTAATATACAGATTTATTTAGCTGAATAAATTGCTTTCTCTTCCAGCAACTATTAGAATTATTTATTATAAACACCTTACCAGAGAGGGTTCATACGTACGGTTCTGCATTGAATTCCACATTGCGACGTGAAAGGAAGACGAAACAAATAAGGTAATATTTTAAAAAACAGCGGAACGAATTCTCAGGTTCAAATCACTGGTCTCTTATTTCGACTTGTTGAGCTGCACCTAAATCGCGATTATAAACTTTGACCGTGTGTGTGAGTTATAGCGTAGCAAAATGTGACAAGAAATGGCCTTGCACAGAGAGTAGGGAAAAGTTCTTGTTCAAGGTTCATACGGGAGGTCGTGCAAGTCCCCTTCTTCAATTTATATGCTAGTGTGGGCAATGCATCATTCCAGGGATAAAATACCTTCCATCCAAATGCGTTTTAATAGATTTTTGAGAGCATAAGCTTAATAAAATGTGATATAATTAAATAAAGTGTATTTAAGTTAGTAAATCGCGTGTTTTTATAAATTGCTAGTGAATTTTTTTTTAATATTTTATTTACATTTTTGGGGTACAACGTTTCTAATATTTTGTTATTTCATGAAACGTAAGTCTATGTCAATATATCGTAGCTTGGAAGTTCATCAGTCCGTTAGATTACCATAGATGATTCCGATGGATAATGATTGTGATAATTTTTAATTTAATGATTTTTTAAGAACAGGACGGTGAATGAACACTGCATGCATACAGTTCTCGTTAAGTATTTTTAAATGAGAGTTTTGAAATTTAATGAGTATTAAATCATCTTCAGACGCAGAACTAGTGCATTACGTCATGAAAGGAAAATGAAAAAAAAAAAAAAAAAAAGTTAGTTCAAATTACTTGCAGTGGACTTATAAGCCATCCCGTTCCTTATAATTAAATTCACGTTCATTTGAAACAAATTGCTTCTGCTGGCTGATAAGAACTATTTCGTGAAATATAATCTGCAAAATTACTGTGAAGTATTTGCGCCTTAATGTTTTAAATTTATCAACAGTTTGAAATGGTTTATCCCTATTTCCATCGACATCTCTCGAAAGTAAGTCAGGAATGATAACTTTGATTTTATGATTCGTTGACATAATTACGAGCCATGGGTAATGTGCACCGAATAAACGCTTCTTTTAACGAGTTGCGGTCATTCATGTTAAATGCTTTGGAATATTTAGCTTGAATATTAGACTAGGAATATTAAATGGGATTGTAACACATTCTTTAAAAATTAAACAATCTAAAATGATAACTAGAAATACTTGTGGAAGCGTAGAACAAATTACATATCCTAATTCACTGTTGCTCTAATAATAATTTTATGAATTAAACATGTTTTGTCGCATCAATTGCTCATATTTAATTTCTAGAGAAAAAGTTTATTTATTGAGAATTATGTTATTTCACTTTCCTATTTAGACATAAACATCAATTTATAAGGTATTTCTCCCGCCTTCTTAGCATGCCTTTGGGGTGTAGTAGTCAGCACACTCGGCGGATATTCGAGAGATCCGTAGTTCGAATCCCGGCGAGGGCATTGCTCATTTTTCATATCTCCTGCTTCCCTGTAGTGCCATTCACTTAGTTTAGCGGAGCAGGTTAAATAAAGTGACCGTATCTCCTGCTTTAAAAAAATAACTAATGTCTTTAAAACTTTACTCTAGGTTAGCTAGATATCATTATTTTTGGCAACATTGTTCCTTTTACTTTTATGATCTTTTCAATAAAATCGTCTCCTGCCATTATATTTAAATTTTATGCTGGAATATATTTTTTATAAATGGGATAAAATAATTAAAAATAATAATATATGATATCTTTACCTATAATTAGATGTATTTTAGAATATTTTTCATTAGCTAAAAAGGTCTTTGTAATTTAGTAATTGCGCGCTATTAATGCCGTCATAAAATTATAGTTCCTTAAATATTTTTGAAGTAATTAACGGAGCATAAAATGGGTCGCGCAGAAAAATTCTTTTGTTTTATTCAGTTCTTCCGAATATGTTCTTGAGAAACAAGGCGAAACTTGCGTGTGTGTGTTCGGTCATACCTCCCAATTACGACAGCTTACGTTTTTATTCTTCATATCGTATATCTTCAAGAAAAATGATGCACTGTTTCTGTATTATAATTCCAGCGCTATACCTTAGAAAGTCATGGAACGTCGACAAGAATTCCAAATGAACACCGCCCATACCATCCCTTCACCTTGGCCAAAACCAGAAGCATCAGCGTTCGCCTACTTGCCAGATGACCTCAAACAAGCTCCTCTCGAGAAACGGAATAAAAATATTATGAACGATTTAACTAAGCCGCGAAACTTCTGCAAGACTTTGCACATGCCTTATAAGTACTCTTTCACGTCAGTATCAACCCCAAAACAAGATATCCTGAGAGAAACTTCTAATACAGCTATAAAGGATTGCTTTTCATATTGCCTTTCTTGGATATTGCATGACAACCTGCATCTATTTTCTGTATAAAAGTGTTTATTGATCATGTAGGCAGATATTGGAAATGCTTTGAATTTGGTGGTGGTTGGGGGGGGGCGGAATCTCGGGTAATGCATTTCGAACATTAAACTTTGATCAATGCTAAATAACATTAAACTTTGATCAAGGCTGAACGATATGACTTAATGTGGTTCAATATCTAAACACCCAGAGGCATACCCTGGATTTTTATAAATGGCATGCTCTTAAAAACGAAATTAAAAAAAAATCTTTATTAATGAACGGGGATTAGCATTACGCATATTCAGTATTAGATTATTATACATTAACACATAAATGCAATTATAAATAATAAAAATTTAAAACTCACCAGGTATCGGTTCATCCGAGTATTATAAAATGTATTAAAAGTTATATAAATAATTTACAACGGAGATACATGTATTATTTGGTTTATGGAAATAACAGTATGTACCATTGGCCTAAGATAAGAAGTGACACTTAGATTACACTCATTACAATTAAAATTATTTGAATGTGAATTCCTTTATAACATCTTCATAAAATGAGGGCCTTGCTTTAACTCCCAGAAAAGTTGTTTCTGAATAATATGCTAAATACTCTTAAACACTTTTATGACTGCGTTACTCTAATCATATAATTATTAATTCTCCTCAATGGTGAAAACGATCGTTCTGCTGACGCAACTGAAGTTGGTATTGATAGACTGAATGAAAACAGTTTGTAAGTTTCATTCATAATGCTGTGAATATTGTTGATATTTATATATGATACTAATTCGTGTACAGGTTTATTTTCAAACTCTGCAGAAGAATATAAATCAATCAGCTCGTTTTTAAACTTTACAAAATCAAGCATTCTGCAGTATGGGCTAATTTGATTAA